GCCCAGGTTACTCTCAAACTCACAGTGATTGTTCTGCCTCAGCCTCCCAAGTGCTAGGATTAATCGTCATGTACCATAATATCCATCTGCTTTAGCATCCTCATTTCTCCAGGTAGATGCCAATAGTACGGTTGTTTGGTTGGATAATTACTGGATGTTTAAGTTTATGCAAAACTGCCAATTGGCTTGCACTGTGATTGCACTGTTACATATGCCAGCCGGGGCACAGGAACCATCTCTATGTCCTCATCAGCGCCTGGCCTCCTCGTCAGTGGCTGGTATGCTCGGTCTTCTTATATTCACCTGTCCTCACAGATGTTGAGTGATGTCTCGTGAGGGATGCAGATGACAGGTCTCACAGTATTACCCAGGCTGGTCTCAAATTGTTGGGCTCAAGTGATCCCTCCTGAGGAGCTGGGATTTGAGTGTTGTTTGTGCCAAGGGCTACAGATGGGGACATGCTTTCCTGTGTATTCTCCACCTGCACATTGTCTTCAGGCAGTGTCTGGTTGTAATCTTTGGCTCCATTTTATTGGCTTGTTTTCTCTCTTCAGGTAGCTCTTCACACGCATCCTCTAAGTGAGGGTCTTTCTCACTCATTTAGAGTGGTTTGGAACATTTTCTCCCCAAAAGCCATGAAAACAAGGTGGCTCATTTGTTCTGTGTATTAACTGGGTCTCTGGCAGAGTGGCCACACTATTGGGGGTAGGTGTTGGAGGTGGTGGCTGACTGCACTGGCTGTGGAGGTGGCTTTGAGTGGGGTCCCTGGGAGAGAACCCTGGGTGGCTATGCTTGCAGCCCAGCACTGGTGCAGCTAGAGGCTCTGGGAGCATGCTGGGGCTTTGGAGCCCTGGAAGCTATGAAGACTGAAAGGCGAATTTTCAAACCAATCTGTGTGTGAGGAGGTCCAGGTCATGGGTCTGGAGAGCTTGTTCCAGAGTGAGCACAGATATAAGGTGGAGCCCCATGGGGCAGGACCTGGGGTGGGGGCTGGTATTTGGGACTGCCACATGCCTGCTCAAGGGGAGAAAGGGAGGCCAGCTAGCTTGCAAGAGGAGCATGGCTCAACTCTGCTGTGGCTCTGCTCAAGACCCTGCCATGAGGACCAGGTTTACCACCTGTCCTGTAAAACACAAGTGCCTGGGAAGGCTCTGCCTGTCATGTGGCAGGCAGACACTGCCACACTTGCATCTCCTGACAATGGTATACCTGGGTCCAGAAAGGGCCCTGCTCACCTGACTTCAGAGGAGGTTATGGACCTGGTTCTGTTCATGCTGCTGTGGCACAATACTATAGCCTGGGTGATTGAATAGAGAAATAGAACCAAATAGAAATTTGGTTCATGGTTCAGGAGAACATGGCACTGATACCTGGTGAATGCTTTTCTACTGGGTCCTGATGTGGCAGGAGAGGCTCAGCTTGCAAGAGACAGATCAGACCAGGTCCAGCCTTCTGGTTAGGAACATGTACCTTGGGCCACACTACCTCCTGCCTCTCAGTACTGCTCAGTGGCAATGTGGTTTGGAGCATACACAGACCATGATAGGCAGTCAGGTGAGCAGGGCCCTTTCTGGACCCAGGTATACCATTGTCAGGAGATGGAAGTGTGTCTGCCTGCCACATGACAGGTGGAGCCTTCCCAGGCAAGTGTGTTTAACAGGACAGGTGGTAAACCTGGTCCTCATGGCAGAGTCCTGGGCAGAACCACAGCAGAGCTGAGCCATGCTCCTCTTGCAAGCTAGCTGGCTGTTTGTAGACATAGGGTGGTGTTTCGTGTCACTCTGGCTTGAGACCCAGGGGCTGTGTTAGTCTTTGGGTCTGTTTTGTTTTTGTGACATTGAAGGTTGAACCTTTGCACTGAGCCACATTCCCAGCCTTTTAAATTTATTTATATTTTTGTTTTGAAACAGGATTTTGCTAAATTGCCTAGGCTGAGCTCAAAATTGTTTAAACTGAGCTGCAACTTGTGATCCTCTTACCTCAGCTTCCCAGAGTGCTCAGATAGCAGGCTACAGGCATGTGCCACCATAGGTGGCAGTTTTGTTTTTATTTTGAGATAGGATCTTGCTCTCTAGTTCAGGCTGTCTTTGAATTTGTAATCTTTCTGCCTCAGCCTCCCAAGAGTTGGGATTATGAGTATGTGCCATTTTTTATTTCATAAAAAAAGGAACGAGTTTTCTTTATGGGGGGAAAAGCCCACATAATTGTCTGTGGCTTAGATATATTTATATCTAAGATATATTTATATCTTACTTTGAAAGTAGTAGTACATACCAAGTGTTATTTAAGTTTTTATTTATCCATAAGACTTAAAACTTATATATGTATTTATTGCAAAAGGGTAGAGGTTAAATGGCACTTGAGTATCTTCCTAGTCACGAAAATCCTCCCTGTGGCTTCACTCATGAGCACCCCGTAGCCCTGTAGATGAGCTTGGCAGTGGAGGCAGCATGGCCACCCCGTCATTGCCTGTGGGACACTCAGGGACTCTGACAGGATGCAGACAGGTGCTGACTGTGCGATTTGCTTCTGCAGGTGCACGTTCAGGTTTCCGAGCACAAACATCAAGATAACGTTCACAGCTCTGTCCAATGAGAAGAGGGAGAAGCAGGAGGCCCCCGAGTCCCCGGTGAAGCCTGTGCAGCCGCACATCTCCCCCCTGACCATCAACATTCCAGACACCATGGCCCACCTCATCAGTCCCCTCCCGTCCCCGACGGGCACCATCAGGTACGCGCAGCCAGGGATGGTGCTTCCTCTGTGTCCACCTTCCATGGACAGGGAGGTGTGACAGGTGCTTAAAATACTTCTTGTGTTTTGGGATACTGCTGCCAATTTTACATCAGGAAGTGCAGTTCCCATGTGTTCCTTTTTTTCTTTGCAGTACTGGAGATGGAACCCAGGCCTGCTTGTGTGCCAGCTGAGTGCTGCACCACTCAGATATACTTCTGGCCCTTTTTTAAAATTTTGAAGGGTCTTGCTAAACTACTCAGGAACTCATGGTCCTTCTGCGTTGGCCTCCTAAGTAGCTGAGATTACAGATGTGCACTACCACACCTGACTAGTTCCTGGTTTTTACTTAGTATTCATTTTAAGGGAGCGTAGATTTTTTTATGTATTTGGTTCTGGGTCTCACTACACAGCTCAGATTTGTAGTGATCCTTCTGTTTTCAGCCTCCCCAGCACTAGGATTACAGGTGTGTGCCAGCATGCCCATCTTGGTGCCAGGGATCGAACCCCAGTCCCTGTGCTTGCCTAAGCAGGCGCTTAGTCTGCTGAGCTATTTTGCCAGTTCAGTGGATTATAAGATGATGATCTGCAAGATTGGTCTAAAATCTGGGATGGGTTTTTAATTTGAATTTGATAGTTTCATATGAATTCTGAAAATGTGTACTTCAGTTTGGACACACCAAAGTGACCAAGTCGTGTCACTGTTACTCAAGAAAGACCCTATGACCCAGAAACAGGATGCCAGCACCAAGCGCAGCCATGAAGCCTTTGCAGGTGGATCTGGCCCTGATGCGGTATTTCCCAGGCCAGGCATTATGGGTGAGAGGAGGACTCTGCCTGTCTGCGCCCGCCTGGGCTTGAGCGCAAGTCAGGCCTGCTTGCTGTGATCCGCTGGTCTCAAGCGTGTGGAGGGGCACAGGGACCTTGTGTTGGTAGTGTGCAGGCCACACGTGGGGAGCGGACACACTTCCTCTCTGCAGTCAGTGCTGCTGTGCAGCCTGTGTACAGCAGCTGCTGGCTGGCAGGGGGGCACCCTTTGTCTGCCCAGTGCTACACGTCTGCATGGCCTGCTGAGGAGGAAGGACACGGGAACTGAAACCCTTCTGTGTTATACCTCAGAGTTGATGTCTTATTTTAAAAACCAGCATCAGTCATCAGCCTTGTGGAAATTAAGAGCGTGAGCGAATGGAAATACATCTCATGTTCACAGATTGAAAGAGGGAAGACCTAGGAGTGTTAAGATGTCGACGCTACTCAGAGCGCTCTACACATTGAGTGTATTTTCCATCAAAATGATTTTTTTTGCCAAAACAAAAACTCATTATGAAATTTATATGGAATCTCAAAAGTTCCAAGAGTGAAAACCATATTTCCCCTAGTTCTAGAAATTGAGGCCCAGGTTTCCTCCATGCTGAGCAAGTGCTCTGCCACTGGGTTACACTCTTGAGTTATTTTTTAAATTTTAGACCTTTTTTTTTTTTTTTGGCTGTTTTTGAGACAGTCTCACACTGTAATTCAGGCTGGTCTTATAAACTTACTATGTAGCCTAGACTAGCCTTAAACCCATAGTGATCCTCCTCCTTAAGCCTCTCAAGTGCTGAGATTACAGGTATGGACCACCAGGTCCAGCTGTTTTAAAATTTTAAATTGGGGGGACTGGTGAGATGGCTCAGTGGTCTAAAGCACCTGCTTAGAATAAGCTTAGCAAAGCCCAGGGACACGGTTCAATCACCCAGCACCACATGCCAGCCAGCCCGCCCCCTGGTGGGCTGAGCTGGCCACACACACACACACACACACACACACAAATAAATAAAATTAAAAAAAAAAATTTAAATTGGGCCAGGCCCGTGCCTGTAATCTCAGCACCTGGGAGGCTGAGGCAGGAGGATCATTTCAAGACCAACCTGGACTACAAAGTAAGCTCAAGGCCAGCCTGAACTGCAGGCGAGACACCATCTCAAAAAGACATACACACATAACATTTTAAATTGAGACAAGAGTCTCAGTAAATTGCCCAGACTGGGCTTGAATTTGTGATCCTCCTGCGTCAGTCTCCCCAGTAGTTGGGAGTATAGGCTTGTGTCACCACTCCTAACACAATGTGTCTTTTCCTCCTAATGCCTCTGTCACTTACTGGGTTTCTAAGTCATCTTCATATTTCATTTCAGTGGCTCATTTTTTTTTTTATTTTTCAAAGTTTTATTGATAAACAGCAATGAGACAGTTTCAAATCAAATCAGAAGTACAGTTTCAATAAATAATACACTGCATATATTCTTTTTAGTGGTTAATTGCTGTACAAGATGCGGACTTGTGATCCTAAAACATTGCCTTAAGTCTTCTCCTAACATCACCCTTGCTTTGTTTTCTTTCTTTCTTTCTTTTTGATGGAACCAGGGATTGAACTCAGATCCTTGCACTTGCCAGGCAAGCACATATTCTACTGAGCTATCTCCCCAGCCCCTCAGTGGCTCATTTTTTAAATTGATATATTATTATACTGTTCTTGTCACAGTGGACATGCCCATGGTCAGGCCTGAGGTAGAGTTGGGTCTGATCATGTCCCTTCTGTGAGGAGAAGGTGCCCATCTGCTCTCCAGGTGCACCTCACAGCCTTAGTCGGGGGCTCCGGGGGCACGGCCTGTGCTCAGCCTTGCCCTCCAAGTGGACCTGCCCTGCCCTCCTCTGTCCCAGCTTCACAGTCGGGAGGGGTGGTGGGCCATGTGCTCTCTGTTACTGGACACAGTGTATGTCGTTTGGACCCTTGGTAAGTTCTGGAGCCATCGGAACCTCAGCTTCCTCATGGCGCTGCTATGTGGAGAGCTTGTGTCTTATGTGATGAAGTGTGGGAGTGGAGAGCCCTTTTCTGCCTTGCTTCACAGAATGGAAGCGTCCCTTCTCATAAGGATTGAGAATGTTCTCTTACTTTTCCACATCTTCCATTTTGTTTTGCTTTGTTTTTGTCTTTTTAGGACAGGGTCTCATTGTGCAGCTTAGGGTGGCCTCACTTGGTAGCCCAGGCTGGCTTGTTTCCTATTTGTTTTGCCTGACTCAGTGCCAGTTACTGAAGCATGAAGCATGTATGGTGTGCACTGGATTGTGGGCTATAGGCGCAACCTTCTTTCTTCCACAGTGCTGCAAACTCCTGCCCATCCAGTCCCCGGGGAGCAGGGTCTTCAGGGTACAAAATGGGCCGTGTGATACCATCCGACCTCAGTTTAATGACTGACAACTCACAGCCAGAAAATGAAAAGGAAGCTTCAGGTGGAGACAGCCCAAAGGTAAATGTTTTGGTCTTACAGCAAGCCCCAGGGGTGTTCACCTGGCCCTCACACTGTATCTCGTGTGTTAGCATGTGTGTGGGGTTATCTCCAGGTCTCTGAGTCTGCCTGGTGTGGGGTTGGGAAATGCATACCCAGTCACTCAGCGCCTCTCTCGAGTGGCTGTGGTAGAGGTGGCTGACATTGGGTGTGGGACACATGTCTGTTCCCTGCCGTACTGCTCCAGAGGTCACGTAGGTGTGTGCACCCTTGGGAACAGCATAGCTGCCCCTTTTTTAGACAGCACTTGCTGACCATAACCGTGTATTCTACATGGTTTTTATTGTTTGATCTAGTAAGCAGTTTCTCTTGCAGGACTTTGAAGGACATGAACAAAGTTTATGTAAAACAAAATTAAAAGTGACCTCAATGCTCCTAGAAGGAACAGTGATTTGAGATGTGGGGGCCCCAGAAAGGGCATCTATGAAATTTTTTCTGTGGAAATTGTAATGCTAAATAAAGAAAAACTATAACTCAGCAGATTAAAGCACCTGCTTAGGCAGACACAGGGACCGGGGTTTGATACCAGGTATGCAGTGCCAGCCCCACCCTCGGGGCACACTGAGATGGCAGTTGAGACTGGGTGTGGTGGCTCATGCCTGTAATCCCTGTGCATGGGAGGCTGAAAACAGGAGGATCGCTATGGGTCCAATCTGTGTATCGAGACCCTGTAGGCCCTGTACTAAATACATAGAAAGAGAGACAGGCAGGCAGGCAGACGGATGACTGACTGACTTACTGACTGACTGGATTGAATCAATTGCTTTTGCAAACTGGATGTACTCTGCTTTGGAAGGCCCCGGCCCCTGGGAATGGGTGGCCCTCGTGTGCCTGCAGCAGCCTCTGCTATCTGCCCTGCCTATCCTGGACATCCTGGCTTCAGCTGACTCCCAATAACCCTGTTCCCACCTATTCTCTTGGTCCATTTGCATTTATCCTTGAATATTGTGTCTAGTCATTTGTTTTAAAACTTCACATAAATAGAATCAACTGTACTTCCTTGGGAGGTTTTGCTCATTCACATTACTGTGCAGGTGTGTACATGTTCCAGAAGCTTGTACAGGGACTGGGTATTTTCCCAGCAGCTTCTCCTGGTACATCTAGGTTTTGTTTTTGTTTTACAAAGTGTTGAGCTTTGAACTCAAGACCTCCTGTATGCTTGGCAAGTGCTCATCCTCATACCCACACTCTTTTATGAAATGGAGTCTCACTCAGTTGCTTAGCTTGGCCCTGAACTTTTGTGATTCTCTTGCTTCAGCCACCCAAGTAGCTGGGATTACAGGTGTGTGCCACTGTGCCCTGCGCAAATGTGATTTTTGGGTTGTCACAGTGAGCTGCCACAGACTCTGAATGAGCCATGAGCACAACTGCTGGCTTCTGTGCAGATGCCACACGTCCTGAATTGGATCCCTCCTTCTGGCTCCTTCCTGCTCACAGTGTGTCATGTGTCCTGTGTGGAGTCACACAGGGACTGGCCTTTGAGCAGCTGTGCCCTGAGCACTCCTCGTGCCTCCTGCTGCACATGTGGAACCTCAGGATTGGGGCCTGGAGATCAGGGGCCTGCTGTCCCCTATGCATAACCAGCTGGCTTCCTTGTCACTTCAGGGTTGGAGTTCCAGAGTCTGGGGTGACTTCCTGTGTGTTGTGCTGAACTCCACCAAGTTCAAACAACTTTGCTTAGTTGTGGTTTTGGTTTTGCATGCTTTGCTTATGTAATTTTCAATCTTCTTTTATACTCTCCGGTGTCCCCCATTCCACCCCACATTTATTTGAAACTTTAGCATATAATATAAATTTCATTTCTTTTAAAGATTATAAAACCTGTTCTGTGACAAGAATAGAAGTGATATTGTTCCAGTATTATTCTTGGATCTATCTGAAAAGCTTAGCTTGCACATGGATAGTGTGATTGCAGACGCAAAATGCTTGTATAATATCAAATATCACTGAATACTTCTTAATTGTTTTACTTAAGAGTCTACTCAGGGAGGTTGGGAAGTCACTTTCCCATTTGTTTCCTTCAAGTTTTCCAAATCCTATTAATTTTATGATAAGAAAAACTAAGCATTGTTAGTTTTAAAATTAAATGAATTTTAGTTAAAAATATGTTAAACTTCTGTACTTTTTTTTTTTAAATACAGGATGATTCAAAGCCACCTTATTCCTATGCACAATTAATAGTCCAAGCAATTACAATGGCTCCTGATAAACAGCTCACCCTAAATGGAATTTATACCCACATCACTAAAAACTATCCATACTATAGGACTGCGGACAAGGGCTGGCAGGTAAATCCATTTCAGTTTATTGAACATTTCTGTTTCATGTCTTATACATGGTAGTTGATACTTAGAGATTAGGCTGGTGCTTTTTTAATTCAAGTAGAAGTTAAAAGGTAGAGTTAGAGTGAGACTTTTGTCTTGCTGGGAGCAAGCGCTCAGGCTCAATGTGGAGTGGGAGAGAGAAAGCAAGCTGCGTTTTACTCCTGTGGAAATACTAGTCTCCAGGGGTTGCGTGAAGCATGGGTTGAGATGATTTCTTTGGCCGCTACAGTTTATTCCATGTATCTGAAATGTGGGAGAATTTAAAGGTCTAGACCAAGGATGGTGAGCCTTTTAGAGACCCCGAAGTGCCAAACTGGAACCCAAGGCCTACTTATTTATGACAGAGTGCCAATACTGCAGTGAAACCTGCACACGGGTTTTAGTTTAGAAAAATCAGCCCGTACATTAGCATCTTTTGTCTTAAAATTGAACAAGCCACATTCCAGAGGCTCCCTCACAGGGCCAGCCTCGCCTGTCCCGCTCCTGTGTATCCTTTGCCCTCACACACACTGCTGCTGAGATGCAGAGATTGCAGCATCTGTACTGCAGGTCTGCTAGGGTGCCTCCCGAAGTCCTGTCCAGCAAGGTACCAGGGGAGCCCCACGCAGCAGCGCTGGCCTTTTATCACACCCAGAGACCAGTGCGTAGCATTGCCCTCATTTAGCTTGTGCGCTGGGAATTTTTGAAGGAGATATGAGGAGCATGTTATTTACATGTTGAACTTAAGTTTTAAAAGTTTTTATTAGTACATGTTTATATAATGATTACATTCATTGTTGAGAATGGGTACATGTACATAACTCACCTTAACTCTTATTTATCCTTCCCTTCCATACCACAAAGCACCAGAAGAACACTAGTAAGGTGTTTTTGTATTTTTTTTTTGTTTTTGTTTTTGTTTTTTTGAGACAGGGTCTCACTATGCAGTTCAGATTGGCCTTGTACTCACTTTGTATCTCAGGCTGGTCTCAAACATACAACAGCCCTTTTGCCTTAGTCTCCCGAGGGCTGGAATTACAGGTTTGCACCACCATGGCTGGCTCTACACCAATAGGTTTTAAACCTTTACATTGTATAGGTTTTTGTTTTTGTGTGTATCTAAGTACTGAATATATTGTAGAATTTTGCTAATTGAGACAATTCAGGAAAGAATAGATTTAGAATATAGGATATTAAAAGCATGCTGGGAGTGGTGGCACACACCTGCAATCCTAGCACTTGGGAGGCTGAAGCAGGAGGATTAACTGAAGTTTGAGGCAACCCTGGGCTACATATAGTGAGTTCAAGGCCACAGAGACTCTGTCCAAAAAAAGGCAAGATAAAAGAGAGAAGAAATGTGTGCTTGTAATACTTTAATTCATTAAGTAACCAGCAGTGACTACAAAATTTCTTTGAGGCTTGGTTTCGATGATGAGTACATGATCCTTCAAACAGTGTGTTGCCAAATCATAACCCTATAATTTAGCAGTGAGGGTGTCGGGGGAGGGGTTATTTCTGTATTTATTGAGGAGAAAAAAACTTTTCTTATAGGTGCAACTATATAAACATGTTATAAGCGAAGCGTAAATAGTTTCCCCACCAGAGCCTCAGTATTCCAGTATAGGATGCAGGGTCCGGCAGCTGCCCCTCCTTGCTGTGCTGGCAGCCCTCTCAGACTGGTGGTGTCCTCCTCTTCTGGTCTTACTATGGTGCAGAGTAAACTCTAGCTGTGTACACCGTACTTTATCTGTAACAATGAGGTTGTATTTAAAACAAAATATGAAACAAACAGAACAAAAATAGGGCAATTTTAAAGAACAGGATTTATAGGCATGTTCTGGAGACCGCAGCTTCCTGTCAAGGGGGAAACTTCCCAAGGAACGCAGATCACTTTGTGGGCTCATGAGGGTCCCTGAAGGTAGCCATGAAGTTCCCCAGGGTTTTGTCGGAATATGTGTTTCTGAAATAGTAGACTGCTGTGTGTCTGGAGTTTTTGTGTGTCTGATGTTTTCTAGCACGTATTGATGGAGAATTTCTGAGCACTGCCAGGTGTTCTTGTTGGAGAGGATTGGAAGGCTGATTCCTGCCCTGGAGTGATTCTCCTGGGGCCTGAATTAAGAAGCATCTTCGGCGGGGAGTGCCCTTCCCCACCCGAGCCATCCAGGCAGGACACCAGATAGGGTATGCCGAGGGCTGCTGGTCAGTAGATGTGACTAGACAGCCCACTGGGCAGAGTTATGGCCACATCTGAAACAGACTGTGGTGATGCTTTTAAGGTTGTGGGGTTTTGTTTTTTGTTTTT